CCCCCAAATCTTCCAAACAGGTTGCAGGACTGATGAAAGGTTCTTTTCACATGGTTAGAAATGCAGTATCTTTGGCACCAGGCTCCTGTATTTGCTCGGTTAGTCTCTCTCCTCTCTTCTTCGCCCTACCCGCATCTCCCAGTTGGAGAGGTATATTGACCTTTTGTGCCCCATGCTCAGCATTTACGACTGATATATGGTGATTCAGAGGGGAGTATAATTTGTTTCCATCTGCCAGAGATATACAGGTGCCATGCTCTTGGGATTCTTGGGTTCCAGTTCTGACCATCTCATGTCGCTCCCAGGGTCTTTGCTTGGCGCGCGACCGTCACGCAACGGGCCTACGACACCAACGTTTATGCCGTCAGCCGTGCTCGGCACCCATGGGAGGCGCGTGCTGTGAGCAGCCATTTCCAGCTAATGAAGTCCTACAATTGCGTGGGTTGAAAGCAGAGTCCTGATGCACTTGCGATCCCCTTCTTATCATCCTTCAACAGCCTTTGCAATTGAAGATGTTTTGCCACCGTTGCCATTATGACCTGAGGCAGTGCTTCATGAAGTCTATCCCTTGGGCGACTCATTCGTGAAAGCGGAGAAGGCCCAGTTTGCCTTGGCCAAAGTCTGCCAGGCACCTCCGTGTTCTGCACCAGGAAGTACTTGGCTGTCCTCACTCGGCTCTAGTTCTTGGGGGAGGGGAGCTAGGCTTTCTGACTTTCTGAAATGAACATCAGGTGGTTGCAAAGGCGAACTGTCAGGAGCAGAGTAGGAGTAGGACAATTGAGGATGCCTGGCCTGAGGTGTTTGTTCATCGAAGTGTTGAAAGACGATGAGACATGTGGCCAGATGGGATTCAGCATCTCGTGAAACAGGCTGCAGGTGGCTTCTTCACAGATTTCTGCATACACCCTTCCCAACTGCAGCTCGGAATGCAGTGCAAAAAATGAGCCTTGGTAGAAACTAAAAACTGTGATTAAGAAGGGCATCGGCCGATATCATGCCTCATAGACAACTGCCTTTCGGGACCTCTGCAGCTGCAATCGTGACAAAGTTCTTTTTTGATTGCCCAGGTATTTTGTTGCTGCTGCGGTGCTGCCGTCTAGCGATGCAAGGTGAATGCGCTTCTCCGGATACCCCGGGCTTTTACGAAATGAACGTGTTCTTTACTCTACCGATTGATTGAATGCGATCAGGTGTTTGGCACTCACCAGCTGGTCGCGACCTTGAAAAAACTATTCGATCAGTTTCAACTTCCTCTATTGAACTTGACGTAGTCAGCTGGGGACAAGAAAGAAACACGTAGGTAGACCGCTGATCGGTAGTCTTCGTCCAACCGGTCGTCCACTAAATCGCTGGACCAGCATGGGCTGGCAGGTCCATTCTGCTGGTCTATGACCTTTGGAGTGGAGATTTGCTCAACTCCTGTGAGGTGTTCACCTCTCTCTTGGCCTCTTAGAGAGCACATGAGACCACCCAATCAAAGGGCAGAGGGACGCAGGGGGACAGGTGACCTAATCCATCCGATGATGTCTCCCGTGATGGCCGGTGAATCACAGACAAAGCCCGTGACTTGTTTTTCTAATGCACTTTGCACAAGCCAAATGGTTACTCAGTGGATTCTTGGGGTCGGATTCACAGTGACAAAGCTCGTGAAAAGGAATGCTCCAATTCAAACACGTCCTTACCCCAGTACAATCTTGGAAGAGCTCCAACTTTGCTGAGGGTAGGATGTGCGGCGGTTGCACATCTGAAGACACTCCAACAGTTGGTTTGTTTCTTCATGGGTGGTGAGTTGTGGATGCAACACGAGTCCTTAACCCCCAAAAACCATGCCTCAGCAGATCTCAATAGATGCCCCTTCTGGGTAGGACACAGTGTCCTGCACAGGGTTCAACACATGGCCCCCAAACGGTGGACCGATTCTCAGGTGGCACCCAGAGTCCCCATGCACCCCACCATCAGCATGGACTGCAGCGGCATCTTGGCAACCCATTCATCAGAGGTCAGTGGATGCTGCAGATTTAACGAAAGCGTCGCCCTTTTCGGTCCATTTCTTGGTTTGTGCTCTTGCCATATTTGAAGAGCTCACTGCTGCGTGACATGCCACTCTCTTTCCAGGCGCCGACCTTGCAGCTGAATTTTTGTGTACTCTCCTTGTCATTCGCGACACGAGCAGGTACAATGCTTCGTTGAGGAGTGTAGGCCTCTCCGATGGTTCCATTCTATGGGTGTCCTTCTTGATTTGGGTACTCGCCATTTACCATAACATGCAAAAGCATAAGCATGGACGGAACATCTATCGTATGACTTATGACACCTATGACCTATGATCCTGCACAGAAACCCTGTTTCAACATATTTCGACAATTTAATGATTTGTCCAGCTGTTTGTCCCATGTACGGTCTTTCTGAGATCCGCTTGCCGAGGTAGCTACGTCTTTTGCGCCTCGACGCCAGCACCCATGGGCCCTTTGGATCTCCAGTGTCCAGGCACGTCCCAATTCTTTGCAGATCCGATCCCGAAGGCATTGATTTTCGGAATATTCTGCTGTTTGGTCCGGACCAAAATGAGAAACACACAGCGGTCAAATCATGCCAGGACTGCAAAGACTCTACACTCCCACCCTTTTCTGCTTGACTTTGCAGAAGTCAATGAGGGCACAAGCAGCACACCTCCTTTGCACTCTCATGCATGAACAAACCAGGGCCTGTCGCTGGCCGATCAGGTTCACCTCACAATCGGTCCGGCTTTAGCGATTTGCTGCTGGAGGGCACCATGAAGCCTCCCAGGGATATGGAGAGGGTTGACGGGCCGGCGTTTTTCATCGCAATGTATGTATACTCCAACGAGGCTTAAAGGTGTTGATGGAACTTTCTGGCAACATATGGTTTCCTGTTGAAATCAGACGCACGGGTTAATCTCAAGACTCAAGAGTCAAAGTCTGGGATGGACGCAAGCAAGGACCCAAGGATTTATGATTCCGCCACAGAAGGCGGGTGCAATCAACATTCCATGTCAAGGCCGCCATGGGCTTACGTACAGCTGAAGCAACTCTGCAAATGTCGTTTTTGATATTTCTGGGGGCTTCTGAACGAGACAAGTTATGGGGCGCATGAGATTTCAATCTAGCATCAGGGATCGGCAAGCGCGGCTTGTTGCAGGACGCATTTGTAGACTACACCTCTGTGGTTTGTGCTGTGGACTTTCGCAGCGGAGAGCCTTGCTTTCAGGACGGAGAAGAAAAGGAAACGGACAGTTGGGTGTCAGATGGTGTCAGTCAGAAGACCGTTTGCTGAGTCAGTTGCTGTTATTTTTTGTGTTGGGTTGTTGGGGGAATGCGGGCCTATCCGACAACCCGACCTGCTTGTTCAAGGGATGTGCAGAACAAATGAAACATCGTAATACGTGACACAGTGAGAATCTTAGTATCGATTGGACTCCAAGTGTGCCAACTTTCGGGCACAAACATTACCCCTTCAAAAGGATTGAACATTCCTTGGTTGTGGCATGTTGTGGCTATGTGCGGTGGGAGGGGAGCACCGGAGCCTCGCGTGCCCGCCAGGCAAGCATTAACGCGAGCTGCATCAGCTTGGGCGATTTGGCTCCATTCATTATGGAATTGTGTGTGCACATTGACCTGGACAGGGAGCTCCATCGGGACAGCAGGATGAAAAGGAGATGCAAGAGCCGAGCTGTGGAAGTTGGGCCTCATGTCATGTCATATACATCGCTTTTTGTCACTTGCAACCTGACAAGGCAACCAGACAAGGCTGACCACTCTCAGAAGCTCGCATGTTTCATGCATGGTTCGCTTCCAAACGGGTTGATGATTGGGAAGTTCCGCACCTCCTGGATTGAACCATGGTACACCTAGCCTTTCTTATTTGTATGAATCGTACCCCAGTGGTGGCAGATCTTCCTTGACCAGAGATGACTTGAGGCTCTCCGTGGCATGATCCCTGCCAGTTGTTGGTGGGTGGCAGCCTAAGTTCTGACTCTTCTTTGTTTCTCGAGTGCTCGAGAGTACCCACCACTTCCTTTTCACGTCTCTTTGTGGGTTGGGAGGGGCACGAACATAGACCACATGTTGTGGAGCATGGATTCTTTTGGGCAACCGCCCACATACTCCGCAACGGTACAAATTGTCCAGTTTGGGGATGAGATTAGAAGGTGGCAAGTGATGCTCTTTGCAATGAGGGCTTCTTGGAACATAATGGTTGCCTTTGCTCATTCCGACCATTTTCATTAAACTTTATATAGTTGATTCTCGAAGGCTTGTGAGAGCATTTCATCTGCCGCGCGGTCCTAGGAGTTGGAGAAGTGCAGGTTAAAAGCTGTCCAGTCATCCAATTTGTTGATGGATTCCAACATAACCCGATCCATTTAATTATGCTCCTGGCTTTCAGGGTGCTACACTCACAGACCAAACCATGAAGATTTTGAAAGATAGATTACTGCAGAGAGATTTTCCACCACCGAGCCGACCTTGTGTTTTCTCTTTATTTGCATGGGCATATCGGCATACCTGATGTCGTCGTCGCCTCCCAGGTGCCCGGGATGGAACCATCTCCGTGTGGCAACCGCCAGAGAGCATTGCCGCACGCATCCGCTCACTGCTTCAAGAAAGCTTGGAGGTCCGGGTTGAGAATGCAATTCTGTTTTACATATTCCTCAGCCACCTCCATCACCTGAAACATGTCGGAAACTGGCCAGCCAAAAGCCACAGACGCCACGGTGACCTGCTTTTCAAGGTGCTGAAACGACAAAGTCAAAAGGCATTTTGGTTCCTGGGTCAGGGAAATCGGCCATGTACCGTGCTGTAGTAACTCAGCACCGCAACCCTGGAGAAAGCTTCGTTTAGATTTAGATCAATGCCTCGCCAAGTCAGCAATTACTCCAGGGTAGTTGAACAACACGGCCCATGTTTTTGCGACAAATTTGGTTGGCTCCACTGCTCCACTGTTCCACTTCCTCACTTCCTTGAGGTGCTGTGGCCTTTTGAACTGAACACTGAAGAGCACTGTAGCTACGTTATATCTTGGGGGATCAAGCCTCTGAACCATTCAAGATATCCAAGTGCGCCGTCACTCACCGCAGCCCGCTGTGTCCAGGCATACAACGAAGTGGACGGCCAGCTGAGACACAGCGATCCGAGCTCACTGTCACCGCTGTCACAGGTGGAAGAGGCCGTGTCCTTTTTTT